CAGGCTCAGTTTGTTTTGTTTTTTTTGCATTTTTTTAACAGTATCAGTAAAGGCATGGCTGTAGAATGGGGAGGGGATGAGGGAAGTTGCAAGCTTAGCTTTTTATTTGTACAATTGGTGCAGAGGAGGAAAACTGATGCATGGAAAGGAGAGCTGCAGATGTTCTGTCTGCAGCATTCACAAGTGGCAGGGGCTGTGTAGGCTCTGCAGCATTCACAAGTGGCAGGGGCGGTGCAGGCTCTGTCTGCACTGCCCCCTCCTGCTCCTTGCAGTCAGTCAGAAGCCCATCTCCTTTGTCCAGCATTGTTGAATGAGGATGGGAAGGTCTAGCTTTCTGAACCACAGCACTGATTTTATTGGGGACAAGTGCTATGTGCACATGGTCCCCTGGGGGATTTAAGCAGCCTTATTACCTTCTGGGGAGGCTACTTCTTTAATGGAAATGGCGACTTTTCTTGTCCATAGGGATACGTCCATTAATGCATGCCATTACCTGGAAGTAAGAAAAGAGCCTTGGGTGTAGAAGCCATCTTAACAAAATGAAAGCTAGCATCAGTCATCTGTGTCTCTTTCTACATCATATTAATGCACAAAAATACACATCTGATGTTTAATAAAGATTTATAGGAGCTATAAAATTGTTTTTTGATATTTTATAATTTGATTTGAATTGCTCTTCCGAAACTTTTTTTTTTTAGTCATGTGACTGGCACAGCACCAATCAGGACTGCACAGGCATAGACTATAGCAGGGGTCCTCAAACTTTTTAAACGGGGCCAGTTCACTGTCCCTCAGACCGTTGGAGGGCCGGACTATAGTTTTAAAAAAAAAAAAAAAAAAAAAAAACTATGTACAAATGCGGGCACAGTACAGGAGATGACCAGAGACTGCGGACATACAATGGCGGCGGGAATACTGGGCCAGCCGCTCCATAAGACGCACAGACCTTTCCCCCCAAGTGTATCTTATGGAGCAAAATAGTGCCCCATCATTGGTGTCAGTGGGAAGAAACGTGCCCCATCATTGGTGTCAGTGGGAAGAAACGTGCCCCATCATTGGTGTCAGTGGGAAGAAACGTGCCCCATCATTAGTGTCAGTGGGGTGAGGAATAGTTCCCCATCGTTGGTGTCAGTGGGGGAAGGAATAGTGCCCCATCGTTGGTGTCAGTGGGGGAAGGAATAGTGCCCCGTCGTTGGTGTCAGTGTGGGGGGGGGGGGGTAGTGCCCCGTCATTGGTGTCAATGGGAAGAATAGTACGTCATTGGTGTCAGCCGTTGGGGAATAGTGCCCCGTCATTGGTGTCAGTGGGGGGGATAGTGTCCCAACATTGGTGTCAGTGGGAGGAATAGTACCCCATCATTGGTGTCAGTGGGCGGCAGGAGTGAGGGCGTGGCCGGAGTGAATGAAGGAGCACCCCTGGACTATAGTAATAGAAGCCCCTCCCAAGGATCTTTTCCTGCAGATTCTTAAAAACAGGGAGAGATCATGTGACCACACAACAGTGCTGCAGGAATAAGGTACTAAAAGAATTAAAATAAATAAAACCACAAAATCCCATGGCATAATATATGATTTATATATGTATAAACTACAAAGACTGCTTGTATCCCCACGCTTTGAATAATGGAGAAAGTGAAATCCTGACAAAATTAAAACCTATAAAGTGTAACCGAGCTTACCCTAAAAAACAAAGAATCCTATATAAATCAATAACGCATAAAAAGAAAAGAAATGAAGAAACTTCCACCAAAGTGTGCAAAATGTGAAATAAAGTTCAGTTCATTTCATTACTGTGATATTCCTTTTAAGGATGTTCAATCCACCATCATTGTGACTAACACCCCATCAAAATCAAATAGAACACTCAACAGATACTGGTGAGTAACCAGCAGTGGAAAATCAAACTCCTTGGTGCTGAATGATTACAGGACCGACAGTGGGCTATTCAACCTCCGTATCACTGAACAAGATCACCATCCATCCAATAAAGTATTGATAACTCTCCTTCTGACCTCCTCATCATCAAGATTTACTCTTAGTAATCCAACTCCATATGTGGGCAAAATGAAAACCGCCACATAGTGTAATTCCGTTAACACATTTATTAACCAAAGCCCCCCTTAAAATGGATCTCACAATTGAGTCAAATATAAAAGCACATGCATGAAAAACACTCCAAAATGTTCTGATAGCCTCTTCAGCGGCAGATGACCGTCTCGCCACACACTTCTGAATAAGAATCCTGTAGCAGCAGTCATGTGACCCCCCCCCCCCCCCCCACGTGGTCCTGGCGTGTGTGCTGACGTCACAGATGGTCATGCACTGACGCGTTTCATCATTCCGACTTCCTCTGAGGGTGAGTGTTCAATTTGATGGGGTGTTAGTCACTGGAGGATCACAATGATGGTGGATTGAACAACCGTAAAGGAATATCACAGCAATGAAATGAACTGAACTTTATTTCACATTTTCGCACACTTTGGTGGAAGTTTCTTTATTTCTTTTTTATCGTGTTATTTATTTATATATGATCCTTTTGTTTTTTTAGGGTAAAATTAATTTAACTGAGTGCTGTTTATGAAGACATTTTAGTACTCCTATATATTTGTTCATAATATATGATTTGTGGGAAAAAATGATGGCAATTAACTCTTCTCTGTTTAGTATCACTTTAAAGATCCTTAGAGCCATGTTGCGTTCAGAGCCATGAATTTGTTTTTTTTTATAAAAATTCATAATTTATGTGGCTCTAGTTATGTATAGTTATGCCAATGGCAGATTAAATTAAAGTGACTTTAAAGGCAATTAAAAATAAACATCTCATACTTGCCTGGTCTGTGCAGTGGTTTTGCACAGAGCAGCCCCGATCCTCCTCTGGCGTTCCTGGCCCTTCCCTCCTGCCAAGTGCCCCCAGAGCAAGCAGCTTGCTATAGGGGCACTCAAGCTGGTTTGCTCCTGAGCCAATACTCTGCTTAGCCATTCACACACACAGCTGTGGCTCGACCCTGTACTCTTTCTCCTCACTGGCTGTGATCGACAGCAGCATGAGCCACTGGCTCTCGCTGCTATCTCAGCCAGTGAGGAGGGAGAGCTGATGGAGAGCCGAGGCTCTCGTGCTCATCGCTGGATCGCAGTGGGGCTCAAGTAAGTATTGGTAGGGGCTGGGGGAACTGCTGCACACATGGTGTTTTTTTTTTTTTTTTTTTTTTTTAACTTTCATGCAAAGAGTGCATGAAGGTAAGAAACCTTGAGTCTTTCCAGCCACTTTAGGGTGGTTCACCGCAGCATTTCAGGAGCGCAATTCATGCAACAAATACTACACTTCAGGAGGATAAACCACTTGTACTCCACATGGTAACACACTTCCCTGCATTGTGGAGCACTCCATTGGAAGATTTAGTGTCAGGTGTGATTTTTAGTCCATTGTGGTACATTGTCAGCCCATAGAAATGAATGGACTGCCAGAACACAGTGCGCAGCTTCCGACCGTAGAAGCTTGTAGGGAGCCAGAATTGTTCATCCAACATGGCTATTAACCTTTACATTCTACGAACTAATGATGTAGTGACTGTTTTACTACTCTGGTCCTCAGTCCCCTGCATGTCCTCTGTCACCACTAGGCCAAAAGTAGACAACCCTTTACTAAAATACAAATAGTTTTTTGTACAGTGTCATTTGAATGACACCGCTAATAGATGTCTTTGTACAGCACAGACTGCAATGCAGACAAATCTAACAGCAGATAATGTATGACAAGCTGCAGCCATGAAGAAGGCACTGCAGGCTGTGTCCATTAATAAAACCGTCACAGCTGATCTTGAGAATAATCCCCTTCGGCAGTCTGCGAAAAACTTTCTTTTTTTTTTTTCCTGTCTTTTTTTTTTTTTTTTGGTCGCATATCTAAAGTAAAAGCTAAAATATCTGTTTTCTTTTAATTTTATGGTATATTAACATCTTGGCTAGCCATATCCCATTGAGCTGTGTCATATAATAGCGTAAGAAAAAATCCACCCATCTGTAATGATTCACCTGTTCCTTGCTAGGAGATTGCTAAACTGGAACTATTCCCAGGAGATGGATACATTCCTGTTTGCTGTAAGCTAGGTGAAGGAAGGCTTTCCCTTTTCAAGCGTCCTGCATGACTAGATTGCTGGCGGCTCTGCAGAGACATGGTAAATAGTTCTGCAGTTAACCACTTCTGCGCTGCTGCATTGTAACAAATGGCACAGCAGACCCAAGGCCTCACGTAGTAAAGAGATTAGAGGATTTCTGAAAGGCCATTAGAACAAGACACTCTCACTGTACAACGATCATATTAAGTCACCTGACCTACATTTGTAACATTTGCGCAACTTTAAAATTCAGTTTGTCTGCTTTTTTTTTTAGCAGTAGTACGATGACAAAATGCAGGCTGCTTTGTGAAATGCTATGTTTTTAAAAAAAAAAAAATGTGTTCTGTTGGAGATCTATGTGCTACTTTGTAGGCGATCTCTATTTAATGAGTTACTATGCAAATATGATGAGAAGGCGTAGTGGGCGAAGCTGTAATAACATACACGAAACAAACAAGAGCTGCTGGCATAATCACATTCACAGTTGCTCCCAGGAGTATTTGACTTTGCAGGCAGCCAGCAGACTGACACCAGTGAAGAAGCCAGTGTGTTTAAGATGGCGTTTCCACCGTCTGTCACAAAGCAGCTTCATATCCACGCCGCTTGTATAATCTAATGCTGCAGAACTGAAAGCCATTCGTAATGCTCCCTCCAGTAGGCAGTCATACAGTCTGTGTGATGACATCACTGACAAAGCTTAGGGAGTAAGTAGATTCTGAGAGCGAGGAATATAATGACTGGTTGCCATGGAAATGTTCATCTGAACAGCTGCTGATTTGTTGCTTGAACATAGGTTTTTACGTGCAAGATCCAAGCCCTGCGTGATAAGCTGTGGAGCTTCCTGGTCCAGTCTTTTTATGCTGTACGGCACACGGAGGGCTGGAAATTGATGAGGCCGGGCGATCAGGACAAAATACAAGCAGGTATGTCTGCGTATTCCTACATGATTATAGAGTTCAGAATGTGTGCTGATGATGATGTGCTGTGATTCATGCTTTGGTCAAGGCTCAGTCTTTATCGGATAGTATTTGCATGAAATATTTCTGATATGCTTTTCCTGGTTTAATTATAATGAGATGAAGAATTACCATCAATGTCATGCTTATTTGCACACAGATGAAAGAAAACCATGCTACAGTATTTATCTGCTGCCTGATTAAAGTGTTTGGTGTGATCTGCATGATGTCTGCTTATCTGGCTTTGCAGAAAAATATACCATACCATTTTCCACATGACTTAAATGAGAGGAAGCTATGGAGGATGAAAGGTTATGCATCATAAATATTGAATACAGAGCTACTATTAACAGCCCAAACATGAAGCATCAGCAAAATCAGACCCGTTTACTGTCAGTATCAATTATACTCTCATATGTTCCTTGAGAAAGACATACAAGACAGAACCCAAATAGCTATGTGCAGATTCAGTTGTTGTTCTTGTTTATTATTATTCTTATTAATATCATCTTTATTCATCGGTAGTAGTGGCATGTGAAAGTCTATTGCTGAGATTGCATTTCATTCAACAATAACTCGTATTCTCAAGTGCAGGCTAGTAGTAGTGTCATACACTAATAGTAATTGACCACTGTTAACATCTGAATGACACCAATAGAATTACAGCTCATCCACAAAATCATTTGCATGCATGTTTTCTCATGCATAATGCAGACTGATCTTCTTTGTGCATACCACACCGGCACGGTCCATAAAACCTTTTATAATTGCTTTTAACGATGCTTTGTTTTTTTAAATTATTTACATGCATTGCATGCAGTGCTCATTAGGAAGAGCGTTCTTCCATAAATCAGCGCTTGTGCGCTAACACTTCCAATTTTTCTGCATGTATTTCCCAGAAGAAATCTTTCCCTAATACACTATAGTAAAACACTGTTACCGCAGTGGAGGCTGCTGCTATATGACTGGCTCCTTCACTGCTGGGGGGGGACCGTCATTTGCAGCATATTGTTAAGAAGAAAAAAACAGGTGCACCATTTCCTGGCAGCTGGCTTTTAGTAGTAAATTTCTGAAGGACAGTTGCTTCAAACAATCACATACATCCTTTTTTGTATTCTGATCCTACTACACTATGAACCATGTTATTGCTTAAGATAAATGTCTGTATATTGCTGTTTTTTTTTTTTTTTTTAATAATCCATTAAGTGTATTTTTTACTCTTCAGCTGCCTTTGATAAAGGGGATGATCGGAGACTTGCAAAGAAGCCCACATTTACAAGTTCCCAGGTAAATCTGAATTAAATTAAGTTATTTATAAGTGAATAAAGAATGTTGTATAGATAAATATAAAGATGATTTACTGTTCTGGAGAAAGGTTTAGGTTGGAAATAATACCGCCCTAAAGGTTCATGTTGTCCAAATTCTTTCCAGTATACAGCTGCTGAGCCTGTGACTAAAATCATTACTTTTTCAAGATATGTTGTGTAATTTAGAGTGAAAAAATACCCAGATTTCTAGATGCCGTTCCCAGATTGATAGGACTATAAATAGCTCCTTATGTAAATGCCAGTAACTTCCCACAAGTCACTGCATCATTAACTAGCATCCAGATTTGATTCATTCAAGAGGAAAGAGCACAGCTAATGTATCCAAAAGGACACTGAAGTATCTTAAGGCAGTTTTGTTTATTTTTGCTGATGTGCTGGCGGCATCCCTTCCTCTGCAGCTTGAGATATGTTCCCAGGTAATGCTGCAGGTAATATGGGGGGCAGACTTTGTTACTTACAATACAGAACACTCCAAAGCGCAACACCTATAATGCAGTAATCGCACAAAGAATTGACTACAAGTCCCATTTTTCAGTAAGACAGAGACAAGATGGTCCTGTATGGTGGGTTTTTTTTTTTTTTTTTTTATTTGCAGAGGATTGATATTTGAAGCTTATGAGAAGCTCCTGTATTTTTAGATTTGATTACAGTTGACCTCTATTATTTTTTGGATGCTTTATCATAATCTGCAATAACATGAGTAATGGCACACATACAGTTTGGCTTAACGGTAGTTGAAAATAACATTACTCCGTGTCTTTGGGTTAAAGAGACAAATCTGTTTTAATTCCAGCTGACATTTTTTTTGTTACACTGCATGAGCTTGATGTGTTTGATACTTCACATGGCCATATGATTGAGTGGACCTTTCACTAGATTGTTGTTGGTAACCTTGATTGATGAGATTTAACATACGGCAAGCTTAAACTGTGAGTAAGCCCCAACAATGAACTTCTCTTATTTGCTCCTCTGGTCTACAATATATACTGTTGTTCTCCAAACTGCAGCCTGGGGGCTGAATGTGGCCCTTTGCTTGCCTTTACTTAGCCTTTTGGGCACTATTCCATTTAGTGACTCCAGCGATGGGACAAAATTCATCTCAAGGATACCAACGATGGGGCACTATTCCTCCCACTGACATTATTGATGGGGCACTATTCCTCCCACTGACATTATTGATGGGGCACTATTCCTCCCACTGATATTATTGATGGGGCACTATTCCTCCCACTGACGTTATTGATGGGGCACTATTCCTCCCACTGACATTATTGATGGGGCACCATTCCTCCCCACTGATATTATTGATGGGGCATTATTCCTCCCACTGACATTATTGATGGGGCACTATTCCTCCCACTGACATTATTGATGGGGCATTATTCCTCCCACTGACATTATTGATGGGGCACTATTCCTCCCACTGACATTATTGATGGGGCACTATTCCTCCCACTGACATTATTGATGGGGGCACCATTCCTCCCACTGACATTATTGATGGGGCACCATTCCTCCCACTGACATTATTGATGGGGCACCATTCCTCCCACTGACATTATTGATGGGGCACCATTCCTCCCACTGACATTATTGATGGGGCACCATTCCTCCCACTGACATTATTGATGGGGCACCATTCCTCCCACTGACATTATTGATGGGGCACCATTCCTCCCACTGACATTATTGATGGGGCACTATTCCTCCCACTGACATTGATGGGGCACTATTCCTCCCACTGACATTGATGGGGCACTATTCCTCCCACTGACTGACATTGATGGGGCACTATTCCTCCCACTGACATTGATGGGGCACTATTCCTCCCACTGACATTATTGATGGGGCACTATTCCTCCCACTGACAGCAACGATGGGGCACTATTCTTCCCAGTGACACCAATAATGGGGTACTATTCCTCCCAATTACACCAACCATGGAGCACTATTCCTCCCAATGACACCAACCATGGGGCACAATCCCTCCCTAAAGCCTAAAGGACAGTAATCTGGCTCTTTGTTTAAAAAGTTTGGAGACCCCTGATATGTACCATTTGAAAGACACATTTTATTTAGCTTTGTTCCAAATGTAACAGGTATACATTAATCCTGCCAATAATTTAGTAAGCTTTTAACTTCCTGTGCTTTCTGCCTCAGCTAAGTGTTATCAGTTCACATTGTTCCTAGTTTTTTTTCTGTGGAAAGCGGAACCCCTCTATCCCTACTATGGTATGGAGGTAAGGGAGAGGGGGGTGTAGTCCTGAACACTTCCTGTCCTAAGTGACAACACTGTTTCTCCATAGATAGTGAGCGTTGTCACCCTAGGACAGGAAGTGTTTGATGTAAGGGTCTGTTGAAAATTAATGCCTGAGAAAAAAAAAATGCATCCACCACGTGTACAGCCTTTTAAGCTGCAATATATTAAATATTTGTTGTTTTAGGTACTGCTATTTTTATAAACCTGCACTTATAAGATAGTTTTATTTTACAGAATTCTAAAAATGTTTTGTTATAATAAGCACGTGTGTATGTATTAGTTCCTATCTCCTCTCTTGCTCCTGGACTTATTTTGTAGTTTAGATATTGGGAGGCAGATTGTGTTGGACTGTAGGGCAACTGGGCCGTAACATGCAAACACTACAGTGGTACTTGTACAGTTCTGGTAGTCTTCAACTAGCTTCTAAATGTTTTTGACACATATGTGCTGGTGATCTGCTTAAGGTAAATAATCTTATAAATGTGTTTTTATATTTTAAAATCCTTGTGTCTCTTTATAATTTTTTCTTATAGATGTAAATGCGGGCAGTCATATTTGCTTATTATATGCTTCCTGATGTACAGTTTTACATAATTTGTAAATTTCTGCTGCACCTAAAGCCCCTTTTACATTGGCGTTCTGTTTGTTTGAAAACTGGTCCTCAATGCATCTCTATGGAAAAACGGATGTAAATGGAAAAACTGTCCTTTTTTTGCATTGGTAGTGGATGTAAAAACTGATGAAAAACTGATCCATTTTTCCTTTGAAAAAAACATGACTGAACTGAAAAAAAAAAAACAAAAAATGTAGTACCCTTGTGAAAGGATAGTGTGCATCTGTGGGTCTGCAGATGGACTGAAACCACTGCATGCCCTGTATGGTTGATGTCCCATTTCAACATTTTATTACAGTGGTAGTAAAGTCATTTCCTATATTTTTACCTACAGGTAAGCTTATAATAAAGCTTACCTGTAGGTAAAATGATTATCTCCTAAATGTTCACTGTTTAGGAGATTCTATGGAGCAGTGGCCGGTGGCAGTACCGGCGCATGCACTCTGAAAGAACAGCATACCTGTGCCGTTTCCTTCAGAGCTGTGTGCTGTGGCCGAAACTCCCAGTGACGTCTTCGGCGGCACGGTCATACAAGCAGCCACAGCCCGTGAACCTGGAAGGAAGACGGGGTGAAGATGGAATCCTTCTGCAGCGGTGAGAGCATGCCACTGGAGGGCTTTGTTCTAAGGTAAGTCTTTACTGATGTACTAGTGTGCAGTGCATACTAGCACATTATGATATTACCTTGCAGCAGGTAGTTTTATTTGTATTTTTTTTTTAACATGTTTACTACCACTTTAAGCAGAAAGGTAGACTGGCTGTAGTGAAATAGTCATTAATCCACAAATCTGTACATTTCCTACAATAATAGAGATATGGAAAACTAAGCATATACAAATGTAAAAAACAAAAATTTTAAAAGTATGTCTGAATTCAGACAGTGTCCATATAACCCTATAGAGAAACATAGGCTGCTTAAAAGCGGCACCAGGTGGTGGCTCTAGCCCACTTAAGGTACTTCTTCATTTTGTACGGGCCAAATTGCCTGTGTGAATGAGCCCTAAAAGAGCATCTATAGATGCTTGTACAAAAACATTCCACATTAATATGCAGAAGAGCTCTTCCTAAATACAGTTACAATATCAAAAGCCACAGTTAATGTTCAATCCCTATATTACCTGGTTCAGAAGAGATTAAAGCGATTTCTAAAAGTTTTTTTTTTTGTAAAATAACAAACTTGTCTATACTTATCTACTGTGTGCAGTGGTTTTGCACAGAGCAGCCTGGATCCTCCTCTTTTGGGTCCCCCACAGGCTCTCCTGGCTCCTCCTGTCTGTCGGGTGCCCCCACAGCAAGTAGCTTGCTATGGGGGCACCCGCTGCTCTGTGTCCATTCACACACGGAGCCGTGACTTGGCCTCGCCCCTCCCCCCCTCTCTTCTCAATGGCTGACTGGCTGTGATTGACTTGCTGTCTCAGCCAGTGAAGAGGCACAGACCCGGAACAGCGAGGCTATCATTCACATTGTGATGAGACTTCGGTAAGTATTGAGGAGGCTGAAGGCACTGCTGCACACAGGTTTTTTTTTTTTTTACCTTCATACATAGAATACATTAAGGTAAAAAAAAACCTTCAGCCTTTACCACATTAAAATGTTGCATCTAATCTCGGTAATACAGCTTGACTTTATTACCAGATTAGATGCAACATTTAAAGTGGTTGTAAACTATTAATTAAAAAATGCAGTATCTATAGCATGCAAGATATTCTGCTTTCTGGCATACGTCCCTTGAATATATAAGGCCCTAAATGTAAGTACCACTTCATACCTGTGTTCAGCCCTGTCTACCGCATATTTAAGCCTGCCATAGACTTTTACCAGCAGCAGGGCTGAATGCTGCACCTGTACCTCCTGGACACACTAAAACTTTGAGCTTGGACACAAAGGGGCTAGATGATAATAGTTGCAAATTGTATTATAAAAAACGCAAACACAAAGTTGTCACAGAAACACAGAACTGCTGTGTGTCTGGTGTAGGAAGTGAAGGGAAATCTCCCTAGATTACACAAAAAACATTGACAGTTTTACCCATTACCTACTCTATCCAAAAAAAGGTTTTGAACACTTTAACCATACCAGCGTCCTGGTCACCTCCATACCTCATGCTAATGTCCTGATCACCACCATACCCCATACCAGCATCCTGATCACTTCCATATGCCATACCAGCGTCTGGCATTTTAGGAACTCAACTGCTCAATTTTCAAAATATATATCCCATAGTTTGTAGACTTTATAGCTTTCACACAAACTAAATAATATAAACTCTTTTGGGTTATTTTTACCCCAAAAATGTAGCAGAAAACATTTTTGGTCTAAATTTATGAAGAAAAATTTTTTTTTTCAGAATTGTCAGTATTTTTTTCAATTATATAGCAAAAAATAAAAAACCCAGTGGTGATCAAATACCACCAAAATGAAGCTCTCTGTCTGAAAAAAAGGATAACAATTTCATATGGGTACAGTGTTGCATGACGGAGTAATTGTCACTCAAGTGTGTTAGTGCTGAAAGCTGAAAATTGGCCTGGACTCTAAGGGGGTGAAAGTGTCTGGACTTGAAGTGGTTAATATGTATTGTAAATTGTAAAAAAAACAAAACAAATCTCAAATGGTTTTGTATTGCTTGGAATTTATTTTTTTATTTTTATTTTTTCAGCAAAGTCGACTTAAAATTGTGAAGTCAAAAAAGAAGAACGATCAGAGGAAAGCAAGAAATATTCAAACAGTTATTTTATTGATCAGAGGAAAATGAAATCTGATTCATTGGGTGCTTCTGGACATACAACAAATGTAACTAGAATTTCTTCTGCAAAGGGAAAAGATGATGATGTAAAGGGAAAGGATGTCAAGAAAGTGACCAGCAAATTATCTAAAGACCCAAAACAGACGGAAAAGACAATTACAACAAGACCAAAACTCATTTGAAGACCAAATTGGAAAACGGTGACAATGCAAAGACTGACGGTTGTGCTTCCAAAGGTGATTCTGCCAGTAATTCAAAGCCAGAATTAGGAAGAACAGGTGCTAGGCCCAAAGCAACAAATGGGAGTGTTAATCCAACACCTAAAGTAAAGACACTGAAGAAAACTGGCAAAGATCCTGCTTCTCCTGTGACAGGCACATTGCCAAGTTTAAAATCTGCAAACCTCAATAGTGAACTTTCCAATGCTGCTTCATCTCCAGGTGAGCAGAATGCTGATCGTCCAGCTGATAAGCAGTCAAATTCTACAACTGGCTCACCACAATTTAATAAGATGTTGAAAACTTATCCAGATTGTTCCAAAGAGATAGCTGCAGGTGAGCACGCATACCTAAGGTTCTGATGTCTTGTTTTTTCAGTGTGTCGAAAGGCTTCTATATATGGATAAACCTGTACAATATTCCACATCTTTAGGGACACTAGAATCTGTGTTCCTGTGCACAAAGCTAGGTCCATAAAGGCATGGTTTGACATGTTTGCTTTGAAAGAACGGAACATTGACAGTTTTTTTTGGTTTTGAGGAACTCAAGTGGCCTTCACAGAGCCATGACTTTGACCTTGTTGAACACTTTTGGTATGGAATGCAAGTTGTGAGTCTGGTTTCTTGTCCAACATCAGTACCTGGCCTCACTAATGCTCTTTTGGCTGAAGGGGTGCAAAATACCTCCAGAGATCTTGTGGAAAGCCTTCCCAATAGGAGTGTAGGCTGGTATAGCTAAAGGAAAACACCAAGTCAGGTGTAAACAAACTTTTGTTCCTATAATATAGGAAGTAGAAGAAAATTCTATTCTGCCATTTAAAAAAATCAAAATTAAGGAAAGTGAAAGATGCTTACCTAAATTTGAGATCACTTGACACGTCAGGTCCGCAAGTCTATCTTCTTTACTGTAGAATGATCCTTTTTGTTGTCTGCATCACTGACTGGGTGATGTGGACAATTCCTATTTGATGTCAACTGGCATAGTCCTCTGAGTATCCAGAAGACTTCAGTGGTATGGTGTCATGAAGGCAACTGATTGGTGCAGGCACAGATTGCAGCACTGAATCAACCAGTAGTAATCTCGGAAAACAATGCTAGCTAGGGACACAAATGTTAGCGCTAGGGGAGTATTTTAAAAAAAAAAAAAAAAAAAAAAAAGCTTGCAAAGGTATTTAACCTTTTTTTAACTGCTTCCCGACCGCCCTAAAGCAGATACACTGCTACAGGGCGGCACGGGTGCTCAAAATCACGTGTGTGTGTGTATATATATACATGATTTTGTATTTCCGGGTAGGTGGGCACGTGCGCGCCCTACCCACGCCGCCATTTGCGGCTGCGGCTATCGATCACTGGGTTCCAGCTGGGAATTACTCGCCGGCGCCCCATGATTACTGAGCATCTCCGAAGGGGAAGAGAACTGTATGTAAACACAGTTCTCCGTGTCAGCTCGTGCACACTGCTTTGGATGGCTGTGCACAGCACAGCCATCCAAAGCAGTGTGATTACAATGAAGCGCGCACACAGAGCTTACTGTGAAACAGCACACAGTTAACCCTTTGATCACCCCTCATGTTAACTCATTCCTGCCAAGTGCCATTAGTACAGTGTCAGTTCTTTTTTTTCTTTTTTAGCACTGATCACTGTATTGGTGTCACTGGGGATGTCAGTGACACCAAGTCAGTTTCCCCCCAGTGTCAGAATGCCCACCAAAGTCCTGCTTTTATAAGTTCCTGATCGCCGCCATTACTAGTACAAAAAAAAAAAAATTCCAGTATATATACCACCATTTGTAAACGCTATAGCTTTCACATAAAACCAATTCATTTACACGTATTGGGATTTTTTTTTTTTTGTAGCAAAGACATGTAGCATACATTTTGGTCTAAATTTGATGAAATGTGATTTTTTTAAAAAAAGAATTTTATACTGGACATGTTTAATAGCAAAAAGTCAAAAATATATATATTTTTTTTCTGTGGGTGCATCGTTGCATGACCGCGCAATTCAGTAAAGTAATGCAGCACCGTAACGCAAAAAATGGCCTGGTCAGGAAGGGGGTGAATCCTCAGGATGGCAAGTTGTTAAATAACCAGTGAATGAGAAAGCAGGGTGGTAGGAATAAGAGTTGGGAAAGCTTTTCCCAGAGATGCGCGTTAATATTGTTCAACTGAATTATCAGGATAACCAACAAACTTACCTATGATACTTTTTTGAATAACTCAGCAGGTACCTGGTGATTTTTAGAGTTTGACTACTGTCAGTAGCAGTAGTTTATTTGCCCATAGCAGTTTACAGCAAACACTAATTCAAAATGAAGCCAATTTAATTTTGTTTTTAAAACTGGTAAAATGATTCTCTCCTGCTGTAGTGACACACACTTCATTTTTTATGTATAATGTAAATGGCGTTCTACTGCAATGATAGAAAAAGAAGGAATTCGGTTAAACAGCAGTTTTTTTAAAATGTTTTCAGTACATTCTTCCAAGAGACGTCTAGTTCACAAATGCTGTATGTTCTGGCAGGGCTCTTTGAGATTGCTACTTAAACCTCATGGATAAATGGTTAAATGCAGTCTGGAGTTTACAAGTGGGTCATCCATGCCTTTAACCACTTCCAGTCCGGACACTTTCACCCCCTTCCTGTCCAGGCCAATTTTCAGCTTTCAGTGCTATCACACTTTGAATGACAATTGCGCGGTCATGCAATACTGTACCCATATGAATTTTTTTGCATTTTTTTGAGACAGATAAAGCTTTATTTTGGTGGTATTTGTTCACCACTGGGTAAATTAAAAAGTCCAAAAATTTTGAAAAAAAGTGTTTTTCTTATAAAATTTTGCGAATAAATAGTATTTCATCATAAAACTTGGCCAAAATGTATTCCATTATATATTTTTAGTAAAAAAAACAAAAAAAACCCATATTAGTTTATAACCAAAGATTATAATTTTTTAAACTTTTTTTTTTACTTTTCTTTTTTTGTACTGTATATTATTATTTTATTTTTTTAACATACGGTCACCCTAGCAGTACAATGTCACCATGGTGACACTGTACTACTTGTGGGGGGTGATGAAAATTTTTTTTTTACACTGATTGCTTTTACACCCATAAAGTATGTAAAAGCAATCATTTCTCCTTCTCTCTAGCTGCGTTCTTGCAGCCATTGAGAACTACTGAGTGAGCTGTGATTGGTCACAGATTGTCACATGGCTGTTGTGAATAGCCTTGCACCATGTGACCTCTGTGATCATTCACAGATTTCACACGTAGTAAGCAATGATGGCAGAAGTGACATCTTGCTTACTATTCTGCATGTGATCACTGATTGGCCAATCAGTGATCACATGATCGGGACCTCGTACAGAGGTCCCGTCCGACGATCGGAGTTCCACTGTGTCCGGAGCGCGCACAAGCAGTGTGCGGGGAGGCCATTTATAAACGTCCACCCGCCCCGGCCGGACGGGAGGTGGTTAATGACTTAACATGTTCCCATGCAGTATGTAGCATTAGCACAAATTGTTTTGTACAAATCAGCAGCAGTGTGAGTGTTATAGCGTGGGCTCAACACTTGTGAAAGCGCAACAGTCATGCTTAGTAAAGTTTAAAGCTTGAGTTGATTCATGCTAAATATGAACAGCAAAGGAATTTAAAGTGGGAGTAAAGGCAAATCCTGACTAACTTGGAAATCTCTTGGCCACATTCTAAGGCCCTATGTACACGGGACACTTCTGAACGATGGAAACTGACTGCTGGAAAACTTAGGTTAAAAAACGTCATTTTAGCTGCGTTTGCATAACGTGTTTATAAGCGTTTGCGTTTTTAGAAGAGTTTTTTTAAAGATAACCTCAGGAGATCTTCCAAAATGCCCAGAATGCACTGTAAAACAGTAAAAAATTAACTCTTTCAGACATTTTGAGAGAAATGGAGAGCACAGAAGCAGAGAGAGCAGTAGTTGTTGGGATTAGCTGCTTTTTCTTTTTTTTTTTTTTTTTTTTTTTTTTTTTTTTCTTCGTGGTGTTTGGATGTGTTCCAGCTCATTTCTGTGCAGAAATTATTGCAGCAGCGTCTAACATATTTTATTTTATGCAAAACCTCAAAGTATGGTGTGCCAGGTCCATTTGAGTACCCGAGAAAACGCTTTGCATGCATTTTTCATGATGAAAAAAAGGCTCTGGACAGCATCTGCGTTTTGAATTTTTTTTTTTTTTTTTAACTCTTCCATTTCCAAACGCTTATAAACGCGGTTAGCCACGTTTGAAACGCTAATAAAATCCACTCCTGAATGCAAGTTTTCTGCGTTCAACAACGATGTGTACATGGACACATAGGAAAACATTAGGGAGCGTTCAAGGGCTGCTGAAAAAAACACTAAACAGCTCCTAAACGTGAGTTTATCAGCTGCAGTGTACATGAGCCCTAAGTCTAAGCTATCTAGCCCTGTGTAAAAAAAAAAAAAAAAAAAATCTTACCTGTTCTGCAGCCGCTCCAGTCCGGTCCCACGCTGAGCTGCGGCTTCAGCATGTAGAAGTATGCAGAAGAGGCAGCCAAAAATGGAAGCCCCATAGTAACTCTATGGGTGAGGTCATTAGGCATTTCACAGCCATATTCAGCTGTCTCCAGCACACAGAGGTTGACGCTGGAGACCGGGCCAGAGCAGCTGCAGAACAGCTATGTATAATTTTTTTTTTTTTCTTTACATAGATTAATCTTAGAATGTGGCTTAGAGTTAGTTAGGATTTGCCTTTACTTCCACTTTAAAGGAGCCCAAAAGACATAAGGACGTGGCCAGACCTGCAGGTATAGATGGACCTTTTTCAAGTAGAACTATACAAAAACTGATTTTTAATCATGTGCATTGGCTCACCCAAGCATACTTGTTCAAGGCTGGCAACAGACTGCTTGATTAAAGCAAGACAATTAATTATCATTTGATTATTTGTGAGTTTCTGACGTTCAGTAATTATGTCATCCTGGCCTCACCAATCAAACTGAGCAAATACTTGAAAACAGGATGATAGCTGGGAAATAACAGAGAACGCATCTCTGAGCTTACTTGCGCAGTGTGGCGAAAGTTCCCGGAGGCCTCAAAATTTGTGAGTGGTTTAGTTTTTAATCCAAAAAAATTATTTAATGCTTTTTTTGGTTTTTAAAATATTGCTAGCTTCATGTTCAAAAATACCAGTTCCAAATTTGTAGTAAAACAGAATTTTAAAATGTTAAAAATCGGTTCAGTATCTTCTGCATCTTGGTTAATTGACTATATCCAGGTTTACTTACCAAGATGTATATATGTAAACTTCATTTGAATATTTTTTACCAGGGAAATGTTTGATTTACAAAATACAATAATAGCATGGGGTAGAAGTTCACAAACAAAAATATGGCCAAGCATGGAATGCGTGGTATTCTTATTTTTATACATGGCGCCTCTTTTTGTTTTGAATAAATATTTTTTCTCTACGATGCTTGGAAAATCAATTTTTGCTTATCAGAACCCAAAAATATTTCAGGAGTGATAACCTGGTAATCATCTATGCAACATTTTTTTCCATCTCTCATTTTGGGACTTTACAGATGGTAATGCATATTATATCCCATGAAAAATTTCAATAGTGCAAACATTTTAGTTTCTTAAGATTACAGTAGCATCACCTGTGTGTGACCTCATTACTATCCCTCTCATTTGTTCCATTTTATTTATATCTCCTGTGATCGTTTTTAATACAAGAGATTGGGCTCTAACTTGTTTTCTGTTACTGCTTGTTAATCACACATTATGTGGAAGCAGGGACCACTGTTTTGGCTACTCAGTTGTTGGCCAATGAGGAGGATTTTTTTTTTTTTTTTTTTTTTTTTTTTTGTAATTTTTGAAGTTTGGTTTTAAGTTATGTTTTTATATAAAAAAACAAACCTCCCCCCCTCCCCTTTATTTTTTTGTCTCTTCTTTTTTTATTATCATACTTTACCAATCCTCTTCAAACAGCACTGTTTATATTAATGACCTTCTGTGTGGGATCATATGCCCACGAATATATGGGTCAGTAACAAATTGATGACAAATAGTTTGCGGCCAAAACAAAAATTCTGTAAATGGATAACCTCAAAGTACAATGATGAATATGTTCATCTTTAATTATAGGGAGCAATTGCAGCTCCGAACTGACTTCTGTCCAAAAATGCATTGCTTTTTGCTAGTATATAAAAATCAAGGGGATTAGTTTGATCTATTTGAACAGCACTATATCATAAATTCATTAGTCAGTTTGAAAGCATAATAAAAGTTGCTTGTAATTATCCTGTCCTTTTTTATAAACACATTGAAAACTACATTGCAGTTTTCCTTTCAGACTGATGACCGTAAGTTCTGATTTCAATAAAATACTTTTTCTTCACTTCACAGGAGCAAAATCAAAACCTGCAACAAAAATGTCCAATGGGTTGTCTGCTAAAAGAAAGGTCAATGAAGCTGAATGTCGAGAGCCAAGCAGGTCTGTTTTAAATGTTCACTTTTTGTGTGTTGTCTTAAGGTTTAAATCCAAAACAATGTAGAAAGAATGTTTACTTGCATATTCAATCTTTTTGCTTCAGCTGCTTTTTAGATCCTTTCCAGAGACCTATTTTATTTACCTGATTTTAAGGGTTAAATATTCGATTAAATACGTTTATGTGGATTAGATTGTAATAGGTTCAGTTCTTGCCAATTTTGAGTTTTAACAAAAAGACAAGCAGAAGACAAATAACTTGTCCCCAGTATTGCCTTTAAGATCCCTGATGCAAAACTTTTCCCTACTACTGACTTGCTATGCCTTGTTCATTAATGTGCCTCTGTTAGGAGGCAACAGTCTTGTTAGAGGTAGGGCTTTGATTCTTTCTGTCAGAGTTGCCCCCTGATGACTGGTGGGGGACTATTCAAGGAGTAGCAGGATAGATTCAGAAAGCAGAGATCTATAGAACAAATAAAACAGAAGCCGATTGATCCTTGCACTGCAGGTTTTCAGGCACAGCTTTCTCTCCAGCAAAGAGAAGAGTGAGGAGCACAGTAGTAGTGCTCTAAATCAGAATTAGATGCACAGCAGTGCATTAGATGATATCGCAGATATTCAGCTATGAGGGTCAGGCACAGGAAGTGCAATGCTTTTATTTAAAAACAAAAACCATACAAAAATACAACAATTGTAACCTGAACAGATCTGGGGGGCCTCAATCCTCACAGAGAAGATCCCTGAAGTTTTTACAATGCAACAACACATTGATAAATAGTACTACAGCATTATGAGAGACAGGAATTTTGCGGCTATGACATTTGCATCAGGATTTTGCTCAGAAGAAAAGAGACCAGGTTTTATAATATAGCAAAAAGCCCCAAAAGATATTTTGGTAGAAATAGCAAATTTTGAGGTTGGTTATGTTCATGATGTAGGTTGTTCAATAGTTCTGTATTTTGATGCAAGTCCAAAAGATATGAAAGAAGTCTTCCAGACAGGTGAGAAGGCTTCATAGGAATATTTTTATGGATGATGGAGGAAGGTTTGGATTGGGGGACACACACGTTGCAATTTCATTTCAGTGGTCACAAGAATCCACCGGCTGTCTACATAATTGACTACTGTAGCCATGGGCAACCTGCATGTATATCACTAAATAGAAGGTCAGGAGGTAGTAGGTTTCTTGCAGCATGTTAGTTGGCACCAGCCCCTCACTACACATTTGTCTGTCTGCTAATTTTTGAAACCATGTTTAGCAGAACTTTTGGGGGTCTGGTATAAGTAGAAAGTAGTTTTTTCTAAGGGTTTTGCCATAGTGGGATTTCAGAAGAGATGTCCTACTTTTCTTTCAAGTACCCACCTCCCAGGTTTTTAGTATAGTCAACATGGATGTGGTATAGAGGTTTGTAAGTTTTGGGGTTCCTGAGGTGGAGTGATTCAAGAGCCTTGGTAAAAGCTTGTATGGCCCATCCAGCATTAAAGCTGGGTTGCCACAAGTTAGTTACAAGTTTGGTGGCTACAAAATATACAGATCTGGCATTGCCAGTCCTCCTTTTAAAGTGGGACTAGTGCATGGGCTACATAGGAATCTTGGTGGTCAGCCCTCCCACCGCACAGAAAGCTGGACAGCTGTACAGTAAGTGTTTAAAAAAAGATTGGTGAAGCGATATTGGTAAACTGCAAAAAAGATATTTAAATTTGGCCATTATTTTCATTTTTATCAGGTTGATGTTTCCCAGGTTGTTAATCAATTAGCAAATATCTGTGTGACTTGCGAGCCAGTCTATATCCACCCAATATTAACCTCTCAAAATCAAGAAACTGGACACTCACTGTCCCAAATAGGATCGCAAACACTAAAAACACAACACTACCTCTGTGTCAAAAAAGTCAATAATACATGATGTGTTGCGCTCCCAGTGAAAATATCTTTGATATATATATCTAATTACCCCTGGTGTGAAAATATATTCTCAGGTGGTAAACCAAAAACTTGAAAAATCAAAAGGTTATTTGAGAAAAAGTAAACCACTAATATATATGTATATGTGAAGATATTAACCCCAAAAACCAATAAATGGTGAATTATGTACTAAAACATATGAAAATGAATATACATCATAAATAGTGACTATACAAAAAAAAAAAAAAAAAAAAAAAAATTATTTTATATACTGCCAAATAATTGTGATATAAATGTCCTTTAAATTCAGTGACTTTGTGCTTGATTAAATCTTGATTTGGTGACTTTTTGTGAATCTGTGACTTTCTTTGAATCCTTAATTGGTGAAGATGTAAAGTAATAAAGGAGAAACCTTTTTATAAGGATAAAACACGATGTCTGGCAATTTGTCCCCACATATGGAAAAAACGCACATGGGCTAATTGAGGATAACGCATATCCACGTTCTTACCATCCGTAAGGGAGGAATTCCATCCAAGCAGGTTCCATAGGAGGTGAACCACAAGTGTGTATAGCCTAATTGCAGGCTAACAAGGAGGTGAGCATACATCTTCACCAATTAAGGATTCAAAGAAAGTCACAGATTCACAAAAAGTCACCAAATCAAGATTTAATCAAGCACAAAGTCACTGAATTTAAAGGACATTTATATCACAATTATTTGGCAGTATATAAAATAATTTTTTTTTTTTTTTTTTTTTTTTTTTGTTTGTATAGTCACTATTTATGATGTATATTCATTTTCATATGTTTTAGTACATAATTCACCATTTATTGGTTTTTGGGGTTAATATCTTTACATATACATATATATTAGTGGTTTACTTTTTCTCAAATAACCTTTTGATTTTTCAAGTTTTTGGTTTACCACCTGAGAATATATTTTCACACCAGGGGTAATTAGATATATATATCAAAGATATTTTCACTGGGAGCGCAACACATCATGTATTATTGATGTTTCCCAGGTTGTTCCATACTGTCAACTTTGAATGTATTGCCTTACTGAATGGTGTAAAGACAATTTAACATATTCAGATGTCAGAAATTATTATGCCTAAATAGGTAAAGTTGGAAACCCATTGAGGGTAAATTGAGGTGTTTGCAGCAGCCTGCAATATAGGGTCTAAAGAAAATTAAACAGATTTGGCATAACTGACTTATGTCCACAGACTTCATAGAATGTTTTCAGGACCTACAGTGGGCCCTGTATGTGAGGTCCAGCATAATTTAAGAAAAGGGTAAGATCATCTGTGTACAGGGCTACCATTTTCTTCTAGCCAGCCAAGCCTCATAACATAACATTCCATAACATGCTGAGATGTCCTGAGAGCCTGGGTTCACTGATAGTGGTGAATAGTGCTGGGGAGTGAGTGCAGCCCTGCCTTGTGCCCCTATGAAGAAAAAAGTAAGGAGACAACCCACCACTCCGGCAAATTGCTGCTTTTGGCTGGAAATAAATTAGCTGGATCCAATGCTTCTATTGTTATGGAAACCTCATTTTCTTTAAGATTCCCCACAATAAAGGCTATTTTGCAGTGTTGAACACCTTCTTTGTGTTCAGTGAGGCAAGTACTCTAGTGCCAGTGTTCACATGCTTGGTCTGCAGGTTAGTGAATAGGCACCTTATAATGATATTGGTAGACTTGTGTGGCATGAACCCAGCCTGCTCATTGTCTTTTAGGTTAGGTTTTGTCTTCTGATTAGACCTTTAAAAATAATTTGATCAGGATTTTTGTGTCATGGTTTAGGTGTACTAGGCCTGTATAAGGTGCAAAGGGTCAGGTTCCTGAGGGATTTCTAAATTTTAAAGCCGTAAAGACTTAAAAAAATTGATTGACATGTGTCCTGTATGTAATGGAAACATTACAGTCTTATTAAATCTTGAGTTGTAAGCTCCAGATGTTTCAGGACATCGACTGATACCTTTCTCTATGAAAGCTTGTCATAAGGTGAGAGTCTGTACCATGGACTGTAAGAGGCCCAAGAACGGTCCCTAGAGAGGCTGAAAAACCCAGTTTGTTCTGTAAGTACCAAGCTGCTAAAGCTAACAGAGGTATCACAAATTGTTGAATGATCAGGATGTAGGAAAAGTCTACAAAAAGCCAGATTATGCAGGGATATGGCAAAACCTTTAATTTCAGTAGCATAGTGATGCTCAGCCCAGAGCATCTCTAGGGTCTGGGCTCTGTGTTTAGTCAGTTGGTTGTGGCTGCTGGGGTGTCAACTTAGATGAACCCCTGTCTTGTATCTAGTGTCTCCTGGGATAGATGAAGCTACTTGATGCCCCTATGCCCGAGTCTTTGCAGATGTCCATAAAGGAGTTGCAGTGTTGTATTTTTTGTAATCCAAGAGTAGGAATGTCTGGGCATTCTCTTAAGTGTAATTACCTGGGATTTTGGCTCACAGCCAAGGTCAGGTCACAGTCCTTATAGTTTAAGAAGCTCACCAGGAAAAGCCTAGGTGATGCCCTTGGTACTGTGAGTTTGGCAGAAACCTGTTGTGCTCTCTATCATAGGAAGATTGGTGAGTCCTAGTAGGATGGTTAGAAATTTTTCAGCAAAGATGGCAAGGTTCAGACACTCTGCCTTTTCTGGCATGCTGAGGATCCTTGCATTACTTCTTAGGCGGTTCTTTGTGTGTTTGATAGATGGAGTTTCTGGATCTCTGCAGTGTCGGTGTAGAAAGACATCATGCCTCCATGGATAGAGAATCTATTTTCAAGGTTAAAAAAGCTCCTCTAGCGTTTGCCTCTATTCTTCGCAGAAGAGGCCTGTGTGCTAACAGACATCTTGGTGGGAGCTGGTGTTATATCCAATATGGCCTCCTGAGTCTGAGTGTGGAAGCTGGGAAATGAGGTTGTATGGGAATGGAGGTGCTTTGGATTTTGGTGATGCAACAGTCAGCTCCAGGAGAGTCACACTAGTGTGAGGGACCCCAAATAGATCAAGCAGAGAAGGTAGGTATGTATCAGGATAAGGTCAGGGATACTGAAAATGGAAGCCCAGCTAAGGCTGGACATAGATTATGCAATATAGCCCTGAGCAGTGATCATATAAAAAAAAAAAAAAAAACCCGACAGGCTGGTTGTACTGAAGTCGATCGATAGATCGACTTCAATACAACCAGCATGCCCATAGATGGATTGAAATTTGGCCGAATTTCAATCCCTCTATGGCAGGCTTTACTTTGCGGTCTATCATTCTGTCATAAAGGCCTTCACCCCCCAAACTGCAATTTTTCTGAAGGATTTCAAGACAAGGTAAATCATTTGAAGTAGTGCTTAAAGGATAAGTTCACCTTTTGGACAAAAATAATAAATGCTTATTTTTTTTTTGCAGGTAAAAAAATGTGCATTTTATTATTTTTGTCCAAAGGAGCCTGGAAAGCATTGCACCAGAGATTAGTAGATTGCTGATGCCATGCAGGTCTCCTGCAGACCTGTCAGAATATCCGTTTGTCCTACGGGATGTACGAGTAAGCAGATATTCTGACAGGATGCTTCAATGAACTACCATGGCACTCCACAGCGCCATGGTAGTTTATTGAAAACTACAAGCCCACAGCCGCTAAGGCTGTCGGGACTTGCAGTCCATTAATTCACGGAAGTCTGTGAATGAATGAAGTGGCCATATGGGCAAAGCCCCACACGGTCGTGCTGTTTTCAAATTTGACAGATAATACGGGGAGAAGTTTCCCTATACTATCTATCTGTCGGGCGGGGGGTGGCATGTGCGGCTGCAGCTATAGGAACATGTTGCATGTTCCACCCTAAAAATGAGTGAAATATGTAACCTGTTCCAAAGGTGAACTTATCCTTTAAGCACAGTTAAAGCTTATGTCAAGGCAAGAAAAATAAAATTATACATCTGCAAAAAAAAAACATGCACTTTTCTCTGTTTTTTTTTTTTTATCCCTTTTTTTTTTTTTTTTTAAATTCTTTATTTTGATCAGTTAGTGAATGTCAACATAAAGTACAAGTAATATACAATGCTTTCATTAGTACACATGAAAAAGAAAAAGCTGAGATCACATGGGCGTGTTCAATAAGGACCAAACACCAAAACACGTTGAGAGAGCCCAATTTTAACACCCCATCTATAGACATGTTTACTAAGAAGTTGAGCAATAGCTATCTGAACTTTTTCGTATAATAAAATAACTTCCATATATAAACAGTCATAACAAAAGTGATCTGAGGGGCCAAATGTTTTGCAATCATCAGAATAATACATGTAATGGAGAAAGCAGAGGGAAAATTAAAATAAGGGATTGGGAAATGACCAGGTGAAAATCATGCTGCAAGTACAGAAAAAAACAGGCAGAGAGCACAGAAAGTTATTAGCTCACAGGATTTAAGGAAAAATCAACAGTTGTTTTTTATATGCCATTCTCAAGCAGCTTGAACGAAAAAAAAAAAAAAAAAAAAAAAAAAACTTTCGTATATTGAGCAGGCTGAAAAGGAGACAATAAGAGAAGCTTATTTTTTAGGGTTTACATACACTTTTTATCACTTTTACATATTCACTTTAAGATACCAAATCTTTAAATTTTTAGTTCAGTTTATAGTGCAGGACCACTTTAATTTTAATTGATCTCATTCTGTTCTGAATTGCATTTATAGAGACTCATCTTCACCCTTGATGTATGGTAGCCATGATTGTATGGTATAAGTGTTTTTTTTTTTTCGTTATGCCTGCTTTGGGCTTCAAACATTTAGCAATGCACATGCAATTTTGCCATAGCTAGATGTAGCTTCAACATAAACATTTAATGCTCGTGTCTCCGTTCAGAGAAAGAAAGTTGGGGATGGAAGAAGTAGGGAACAGACACTGTGCGGATGCCAGGACAAAGCGTTTGTGATAAGACAAGGTTTACTAACATGTCTGTTCACGGTTTCCCTGGCAGTGTATGTTTAGTCCCATTAAAAATAAGATCGTTGCCAGATCTGGTTAAGCTGGGTACATGCTGATCAAAATTCGGTAGTTCAAACCAAATGGTTCAACAGAAACTGATTGTTAAAGTGGCTTCTGTCAAATGGAAACACAAACCAGCATTTGATCAGCTGCTGCAGTGCAGATCAGTGTGTTTTGACAGGGAAGGGCAGGGGTTGTCCTAATACAGCAGCACTGGAGAGGAGACTCCTGCATTAACATCGCTTGTGTGGATGCAGGAAACGGGTGTTTTTTTTTTTTTTTTTTTTGTTTTTTTGTTCTGATCACTAGTTGAATGAAAAAAAACACCTTACACTTTGCACCCAACTTAAAAAGATCTCGATCTGGCAATTTTAGGCCACTACTGTTGAACAAGGAAGAGGACTAAAAATTGCTAATTTGTCTTGTCTGCATGCTAACCGGTTTTAGCTGATTTATGCATGTTATCTTTCTTTCTATGGTGATTTTGGAATTTTTGCATTGTCTTCTTTTTTGGGGTTTTGTTTTTGTTTAATCCTAACAGCACATCAAAAAAATTACCCACTGATGGAGGGAATGACTCTGGGCTTCAGAAAAGAAAAGTAATCAGAATGGGAACTGCTGCTCAACAAAGGCCAAAGAGTGCCCCAGCTGCAATGTCTAAAAAGCAAGGTATGTTTTTCTTTGTTTGAGATTGTTACCTGTGCATACTGAAGTAACTAGCATGAATAGGCATTGTTAAAAAAGAGGAGAAACAGACATTGGCATATTCTGTGACATCAAGCAAAGAAGGGTGATGTGTACAGTATGTCTACTGGATGGTCATACTCATTAAAATTAGCAAGATGTTTCACAGAGAATGACAGATGGTTAGACATGTGACTATTCATGCATATGCCTGCACTCGCCACCATCTTCTGTGAGGATCAGTTGATGGGTATTGGTACTGGGGTGATTGACGCCTTCATTATTGTTCAGAAAAACAGAAAAGAATACAAAAAAGGAATTTTTTACTGAAAAAAAAAGTTAAAGGATAAGTTCACATTTCGTAAAATGTTAGTTAGACCGACCCCTGCTCCCCACTTTGACAGCTAGCGGGGGATCTTCTTCCCCCTCGCTAGCTGTCAAATTAAAGAAAAAATGCTGCCGTGTGGGTCTCCACCCGCCCGGCTGCATCACTCATTCACAGTGCTCTGTGAATGAAAGACTACAAGTCCCAATCGCCTTAGCAGCTGTCTGTTTGTAGTCTCAATGAACTACCATGACTCTGTGAAAGCAGTTATTCTGACAGATTTGCAGGAGACCTGTATGGCACCAGCGATCTGCTGATTATCCTTATTTAGTTTTACCACATTTTCCATACAGCAAAGCACCGCCCATCATCTAGTCTCGCTACCCTCCTTCCAATCGCTGCCAACACACTGGCCATTATCACACAAAGAACTGAGCCAAGACACAAGCCGCTGGGGACCACCTACGATTTTTGGTTAATGTAGTCTCTCATCTCTCCTCCCAGCAAGTGGGAAGTCTGGCCAGCTATTCTGAGTTTGTTTACATTTTCACATTGCATTATGTACTTGTACTTTAAGCATTTCATTTGTTTTGCTGTTTAGCTTTACTAATAGAAAATCTTTGCTAATCGCTATTTCAGAAAAAAAATAAATCCTTTAGCAACATATATACAGAAAGAAAACTGGAACAGAAGTGAATTTGCCACCTTTTAGTTATCCGATTTCATATTTTATTGCCAAAGAAAATAAAAACAAGAAATAATATCGGAACAACAAAAGTGGTAGTAGCCTGTTGGATATTTTTAATATGATTCAATTAGGAAGTACTGGCTATAGAAGAAAACAATCAACTTTAGAGTATACTGTGCATGTAGAGTCATTTTTGCAGCTTTTAAAGTGGTTGATTGTAAACCTTGATAGTAATACAACATCTAAATGATAATGCACACCACTAATCATTAATTTACATGTAAACTGCTTTAGGAATAACAATAAATACCTTTTCTGGTTTTTCATAATGGGGTCACACAAAGTTTTTTTTGTGTTTTTTTTTTTTTTTTTTTTTTTTTTTTTCTTCTTTTTTACTGCAGCTGGGCTGGGGGCAGGGCTAAGCCGGGGCAGCTCACATTTCCTGTCACATCACCTCCGCTTTTTCAGGCCCCTCCCCAGGTCAAGCAAAGCGGAGTGAAGCTGTTAGTCAAGAGTCTGATGCACCCACCAACTCCTTTTGGGTGGATTAGATCAGACAGACAACTAGGGGGTTTCCTGAGTGCAGAGCCTCTATGAGCTAGCAGACTGGCCATTTGCACAAGTAATTTATGCATAAATAAATATTTCAGACCTAAACAATAGTCACAGAAACAGAGAAATTATTAGAAAGCATTTTTTTGTTGTTGTGTTTTTTGGGTTTTTTTTGTTTTAAGCGGCACTTTAGGATGCAACACATTTGCAGTAATTTAAAATTCCTTATAAAACTGTTTGAGATGCATTGGTCTTTTAGTTTATTTACCGATTAGCTGATGTTCAATTCTACAAGGGAGATACCATTTCTTTCTGATGCGCAAGACAGAAAGGTGACTGGTTCTTGTAAATTGATAATGTTCAGGGTTTTTTTTTTTTTTTTTTTCTTTTTTAATTATATTAAGGATTTTATGAAAGTATGGTACAAAACAGCCTCTGGGCATTCCCTGGCTCAAAATATTACAAACCATAATAATAACCCCAACAAACAGCAGCTCAGGCGAACTTCCCGATCAGTGAAAAGGATAGTACAGCCAAAAGTGCAACCAATAATGAACTGATCACAGTAGGAATGGCCGTACAAAGATATGGGTACCATGGATAGAGAATCAAAATAAAATGACGGATACAAGTGAAGCATTAGAGAATCTCCCCACATGGGGAAAAGAGAAAACGATAAAGCTCAGTTTTTTAACTTTTTTTTTTTTTTTTAAATTTTCCTTCTGTTTTTTTACAGGTGTATCTGGAGATCGTTTGGACGTGCCTAAATCTGTTTCTTCCAAACAAACTGATGTCAAAATGGAAGCCAAGTTAGTGAACCATTCTGTTTCTGGGGACAAACCTGTGTCTGTGAATAAAAAGGCTACAAAGCCATCGGTCACATCAGCAAATAAAACAAATGCAGGAGTGCCAAGTAATAAACAAAGTTTAAGCAACAGTAAACCCTCTATATCAAATCCTAAAGAATCTAAACCTAAGGCTCAAAGTAATTCTAAACCTTTAAGCCTAAACCAAAAGTCACATCAAAAGAGCTCTTCCTCTGCAGTCAAAAAATGCCAAAATCTAGTTACAAATAATGCAGAGAGTAATGATGTCAAAGAATCAGCTTCTCAGCAATTAGCAGAAAGAGCAGAAAACCTTGCACAACACTGTTCTGAAGGCCAGCCATTCACTGTACCCGAGTCTTGTCAGGAAAATTCAATGAGCAATCAAGACTTTATGATACAGAAGCCTAATTTAGAACATTGCCAATGCCAAGAAAATCTTCCAGCAGCATCTGTTCTTCGTTACGCATCTAATTCAAAAGAAGGTTTGTCAGAAGCAACAAATCAAACCAAAACAGCAAATGTTGACAATGCTGGGTCAGGCAAAGTGTACATTATAAGTACTGCAGGCGAGAAGAAACCAGATTGCAAAAATATCTGTGATTCAGAGAATTCCAAATGTGCTGACAGTTCAAGCGAAAGCGAGTTGTGTTCGGTCAAAGAAGTTGAAAGAATTCCAAAACAAGAAGAGAGGGAAGATGTGACATTATTCCAGTTTTCTCAGAACACGAACAGAGTTGCACCTAGTTACAATGCTGCTGAATCACCTTCAATGGGTGATTCTACCAGCTGTCAGCCTGCGCTAAATAATAGTGAACCTTGTATGAACTGTTCATCTGAAAAACAGTTGTCTAAATATCAAACGGAGATCAACGCAACAGAAGCAGCTGATCATGAGAACTTTGAATTTATAGGTCAATGGAATAAACACTCGGGTATGCTACATGAGCGTGAGAGCCCAGAATCGGAGAGTGGCAGTGCTAGTACATCATCTGATGACATCAAACCAAGGTCTGAAGATTACGATGCAGGTGGCTCTCAGGATGATGATGGTTCCAATGAAAGAGGAATCTCTAAATGCAGCACAATGCGGTGCCATGATTTTCTTGGTAGAAGCAGTAGTGACACGAGTACCCCGGAAGAACTGAAGGGTTATGATGGCAGCTTAAGAGTTGATGTAAAGTTGAAGAAGGACAGTACAGAGTTATTTCGAGTCAATTCCACCAGTGATGATGAAGGACCTCAAAAAAAGAATGGAGCCATGGCTGCAAAGGGATGTGCCCAAACATAGTTCTCATCACACAACCCTTTGCAGCAGTGTGCAGTTTTCTCAGGAAATTGAACACCTATCTTCATCAGCTGATGAAACTGAAGATGAGCGATCTGAGACTGAAAGCACTGGCCTCAAAGTTCCAGAAGAAGTTGTCACTCAGCCCTTTCAAGGCATTGTTAATTTAGCTTTCGATGATATTGCTGAAATGGAGGGTGACACCCAACAAGGTACTGGAAATAAAAAAATTTTAAGAGGTCTGTTCTTTTGTCTGTGGATGAGTGTGAAGAACTGGGTTCTGATGAAGGAGATACTCATCCTTCACATATGCGAAAACCTGCATCATTAACGTCTTTGGATGTGTTTGAGAGAAATGGTACTGAGAACTGTTCTGGATGTTCCCATAACCATGACCCAAGTTCCCTGGAGAGCAAGGCAGAATGTGCTTTTTTGACTGGCAACCAACCAACATTTGATAAAAAGTCTATTGCTGATGAGGATTTTGAAGAGTCTGATGCATGTAAAGGCTACTACAAATCCACAGAATGTGAAATTAAGACAAGACCATGCCATTTGGATCTGTATACTGAATTGCCTTCTGATACACAAAGGTTTTGCTGTACTAAAACTGGTAATGCATGTAAGAGTCAGTTTCTTGACTACCAAGGCAGAGACAACCATATACCATCTACTGAAAGCTCCAACACTGCTTTATCTGCAGGTAATGAACATTAGTTATCACACATTAGAGTTATATTACTTACTTCTAGTGCAGAGTTGTGTGGCCTGCCATGCTGACCTTTTAAGGCTTTTAAGCCACTGATACAGAATAAATCTGAAGATCAGGAGTTTTGACTTCCATTGACTGCTTGCATGTTTTTGGGTCAGTAACTCATAATATATTGAATCTTAGACAACTAGGCTGTTAGCAATTTTTAAAGGAAGGTCAGCAATGGCAGCCTACAAGTTTCTCTCAGTATAGGTTTCCTTTTAAAGAATTGGAATCTTAACCAGTTTAAGTTGTAGTGGTGGAGTATTCACATTCCTTTTTTTTTTTTTTTTTTTTTTTTTGTAGTACAGAAACCTGAACTGTGAAAAACTGCATATGTAGCAACAATAAAAAGGAATTATAAAAAATAATTATTTTGTGCGATGAAATAGATAAAGTGAAAGTATTATGGAACATATATTCATATAGCAACGTTTCTGCTGCAGTATTTTATATTTGTTTCAGAATGGCTGAACATGAATTAAGATGGCTTTAAAGATCACTAAGATTTGAGACCCTTTTTAATGTCTAAAGACCTTTATTATATTTATAGCCATTATAGTGACCCATTCTGTAAGCTTTTAATCTTTCAAAACCAATTTGTCATAATCCTTTTGTACATTCCAAAGCAGGTTTTCCTCATGCATTTACAGTTTGTTTTGTTGGGAATGAATGGCTATTTTGGCAACTAAAATATAATAGAGCTTTTAGCTAGTAAAGATACTTTCACCTTGCCTATTCAGGCAACATTGACGGGGTCTTTGCAAAGGTACTCACCCACCTACTGACACCTTGCCAGCACTGGTAGCCATTCACTAGGAGTAATGTTACATGAGAGGGAGTGACCTCACCGCTGCCCTAGCATCCGACACTAGGAATTTAGTGCAGGTTGCTGTGTGGAAGTGCTGTTAAGGTAGGTATAAGGGTTGGGGGACCCCTTTTGCCAAGACACTGTTACTTTGCCTTGAAGCGGCAAGGGCACTGTGTTTCTTTAAGTGGCATCAAGTGAATTTATTTGAATTTGTTTTTGAAATTTGTTCAGCCTTTATATTAATCTTTGTCTATTTTATTCTTTTCACTTTATGCATCCCATCTTTCCATGTATAGTTTAGTTTATATGTAGAAATTCTTTATTATTCAGAAAAGTTATTTTTGCTTTTGGAGAGACAACCAAAAATCCTCAGCCTACCAGTAGCCTATATTTATCTGAGTTGTCTGTAAATTAGTACATGCAAACTCAGATCCAAATCTCCATATAGCTCTGTGTGCAGACAGTGCTTACCTCGTTCCTTCCCACGTACTCCTACTATCCTGATGAGCTGGAAGCTTTATCACTGAGAATTCACTTACTGCAAAAATTGGTATAGCAAGCCATTGTCAGACATTGCAGCAGCATCGTCGAACTTTAAATCCAGTATTTATTCACTTGATAATCTTAATATATAATTTACATATTTTAAATAAAGAGTAATATATTAGTTTGTTTAATTTTAGATTTTTATTATGACTTGGCTTTATTTTTTACCAGAGCTGTTTAAGTTAAACCTAGTAAATATACATATACTAGGTATATTAATGCATAAATGTACATTATTGTAAACAGTGTAATTTTTATTGCCACACAAACTAGAGCCATGGCAAATTACTGACATTATTAAAAGGGCATTCATAATTGCATTTAATGAAAACGTGTTTAAAGTATAGTTCTCTTCTGATTATACATTTGCCAACAGTGACTTTGAATGTAGTCCAATCTGAGTCGAAGAGAGCTTTAATTCAGGGGTGGACAGATTAAGGGGTCAGTTCACATAAAACATTTGTTTTGTTTTTGAGTTGGAGCTTTTTGAATCACAATTGGCTTTTTTTGTGTCTCTCCAAGACTGTTGGCAAGATCCTGTACCAAAGTTTCTAGTTTCACCCATTTAAGTAATTACAAAGATTCTCAATCTTTTATCAGAAGGTGAAGGCTTCACTGGCATATGTTTTCTAGTGAGGATATATTTGCCACTGGAGTTCCTGATATTTAAAAAGTCAATGGTTTGTTCAGCCCCCATCTTCTACTTGTTAATGAATTATGTTAGGCTAACCCTTTGATACAGAATTCTGGTTTCATCACACGCTGTTAAGATGCCAGAAAGCATGTCCCAGTCCCATTGTTAAGTATGGCCTACTGCAAAACAAGTTTATTCCTACATATGAATTTTGCAGCAAGAGAGCTCTCCTCTCTCATCCCTGATATAGAGAGCTCACCTACACATGTTCACTGCTAGATAGGTATAGGGTGTCATAGGCCATATGATGACACTTTACACTAAATACAAAAATAACGGGAAGAGATGCAACCCTTTTGTAATATTCTCTGTCTGATTGAAATGGCTACTCAAATAACCCATTTTCTGTATCAGAAATTTCAGAAGTTTGATTCTTAGGGTGATCTGATGCTTGATTTGAATTTCTAAACAGTGATCTGTTCCACATTACTGTCTAGAAATATATATGTTTGTGAAATGTCTGTGTACCACAGTGTTTAATGATTGTATGTTCGTCTACGTTGACTTTGGGGGGAGAGCATAACTATTTTACAATGTACAGTATTATGAATTATTTCAGGACACATAGATGATAATGACTCATTGGCCCAAACCTGCATGTATGACCATCGTCCTCCAAAGTCCCTTTCTCCTATATTTGAGATGGATCCTGGCGAAGGAATTGAACAGAGACTGAAGACCGAAGCTAGAATAATGGATATTGAAATTGAAGATCAGCAGTTTGTAGAGAGGGACTGGACACTACTGAAACAGCTGCTAGCTGATCATGGATCAGATGTTGATATCATAAACTCCGTCCCTGAGGATCTCAGCCTAGCACAATATCTAATCAATCAGACATTGCTCTTAGCTAGAGAGAATTCTAAATCTCAGGGCAAAGCATGGGGCGATTTGTCATCTCCGTTCGAGGATTCTACAAGCATCACAGTGACTAGTTACTCTCCTGATGAGTGTTCATCCCCCCATGGAGAATGGACTATCCTTGAATTAGAAACCCATCACTAGGTTCAATTGTTTTCACTGTTTTTGATCCAACAATCTTTCCAGGGTTTGTTACAGGTAACGGCTGAATGTTGTAATATCCCATCAGATAATTTATATGAAGCTATTTATAAGTATCTTATAGTCCTTTAATAATAAGTCGTACAGCTGTAGACTAAATTTTCCACAAAGCTTGTACTGGCCTATGCTTTTCTCTTTACAATATATATAAATCAAGAATGCAAATTCTTTTACTATAGTGTATACAAAATAAAAAAAAAAAAAAAAAATATATATATATATATATATATATGTATATATATATATATATATATATATATATATATATATATATATATATATATATGAAAATATGAAAAACAACAAACCGCTACATATAAACTTAAATCTCTGATTTCTAGCAAGTAGCCTGGCTTTGTTTTCTTCCAGCTGACACAGCTCATTTATTTACAGATGATAACAATAGTTGGGTTAAAAACAGCCTGTGCCAAGGGCACATTTTTTGTACTTGCCAAGTTTGTATCACATTGATTGGTCAAGCAAGACTTGGGCATGCCATTTGTGTGTGGTACTTGATAAGAGACTGTCTTGAGAAAATTCTAATTCGTATGAATGCTTTGTTTTCAAAATTTGATAATTGGTCTTTGCTTCTCAGAGCCCCTTAGGAGGCCAAAATGTAAATAAAATGGAATTGATATTACCACTCTTTGTAGTGTCTGTGTATATTATACAGTTTCTGTACTTTGAAACCTGAACCAAAATTTCTTGTTTTAAAAACCACTTGCCTACCGGGCACTTTTACCCCCTTCCTACCCATGCCAATTTTCACCTTTTGAGTGCTGTTGCACTTTAAATGACAATTGCATGGTCATGCAACACTGTACCCATATGAGATTTTTATCATTTTTTTTTTCACACAAATAGAGATTTCTTTTGGTGGTATTCAATCACCACTGGGTTTTTTATTTTTTGCGCTATAAATGAAAAAAGACCACCATTTTTTCTTTATTTTTGTTATAACATTTTGCAAATCTTTCTACACAAATTTAGGCCAAAATGTATTTAGTGAAAATAACCCAAATCATTGTTTGTTTAGTTGGTAGGAAAGTTATACTCCACAAATTGTGGTATACATCTAAAAACTTATAAATCCTGATGTACTGATGGCTGGTCTCATGTCTTGAGGCCCAAAAATGCCAGGATAGTACCAATACCCCCAGAATTACCGCTTTTCAGAAAGTCTGAGGTCTATAGTATGAGGCATGCTGAGTTTTTTGAGGTTGTCATTGTCATAATTTAGTGGAAAATGAAAAAATTCACAATTTTGTTTTTTTACATACTGTCACCAGTGCAGTACAGGGTCATCATGTAACTGGTGTGGCGGTGATCATGGACACTGACTGACTACAGTATGTCAATCAAATCTAGTGGTGGGGGGAGGCAGGGTTGAGCTGCACTGTGGTGCACAGGAAGAAGAGAAGGAGGCCAGAGTATCGGCGGGTGATCCCACAAGAGAAGGATCGGGGCTGCTCTCTGCAAAGTTATTGCACAGGGTTAAGTATGATGTGTTTGTAATAAAAACAAAACCTTACAATTACTTTAAAGTGTTGCTAAACCCAGGACCCTGCATCCACTCTATCTGGTCTCCCACAGTACAGAGAACATGGAAATGCAATTATTTTAGTAAATATAAACTGATAAATACCTTTTCTCATCAGCAGTTAGAGCAGTCTTGTGGCTTCTATCTGTGTCCAACCCAGCACTAGCTAAAGCTTGGAGGAGGAGTTTTCTTTCTGTTCTAGGAGGATGGAAATTCCCTGACCTTTGTCTGAACAGTGCTGTTGGCCCTGTGCAATCTCCCAAGAAAAAAAAAAAAAAAAAACCTCTAGTAATATACACCATACTGTGCATGTGCAGGCCTACGGTTCAGTCTAGAAGTAAGTGGTGGTTGCTTGAAAAAGGGGAGGAACAGAGAAGAAAGGATCGAACAGCTTTTTATACAGTGCAGAGGATTAACCCCTCAGGTTCCACAGTGAGTAAAACAAGCATGCTTTTACTGCATATACAGACTGATATTTTTGTGGGGTTTTTTTTTTTTTTTTTTGCTGTCTGTCCTCCTTTGAACTTCTTTGCCTAGAGCTGCAGCAGGTGAGAGGATATCTCTACTAAATTCAGGGAAAATCCTTCACTAGACAGTTGCCACCAGAACAGGTGTTCCCATTGCAAGATTTGATACTTTTTCTGTTTTGGTGACTACTGTAAAATGTTGATTCCCTTTTAACGTTCTATCTAGTTGACAATGTTCACCAGGACAAATAATGGTGAATCTCTCTAGCAAAGTCCTGAACAACTATAAAACGTGTCAGAGAGCTGACCTTTCCTCAAAGCTAAAACATGCTTTGGATTTAGGTGTACTGTAGTTTTTTTAAATTAATAGTGATGTATTTGGTAATCTGTACAACAGTTGCAAAATTCCTGCTTGGGGCCTGAGAGGAGGCCATTTTCTAGGCCTGTTACAGCGTGGATTTTCAGAAAATTGAAACTGGCACAGTGACTTTGGATGGGGTTGGTGGGAAAGGCAAATACAGGCAGCTTATAGTGATAGCAATGCATTAGAGTATTCATCTACCTGGTATGGGTATAGCAGCTGCAAGTTAAGTCAAAGTGGTAATAAAGGAAGAAAAAATTATATAAATGATTGTCTGCCACTAGCGTTAACGAAGCAGTCTTTGATTTTTTTTTTTATTTTTTTTTTTACCCATTGATGCTGTTATTTTTCTATTCCTGCTGTTATTTTTCAGCTTGCTTTAACAGACCAAGTTGTACAGTAAAAGGCAGTCAGAGGGTTGAGAGAAACCATTTAACACTGAGGGATTCTTAAAAATGGTCTATTTTTATTCATTTAGTTAAAACAATTAGAAAACTATTTATTTAACTGCTTAAATAGTGTTAGCTAGAATTGGGATATCATTTTTTAATCACTAATTTACAGTCCATCTAAAGTACAAAAAATTGAATGGTCAGATGACTAAAAACCATAGGCACCCAATCCCCAAAAAAGTAATCACAGAGTAGCATGTATTGGGGAGTCTTAACTGTGCCAACACATATTACCAACAAATGAAGTAAAAACAAAAAAATATATATAGTTTTATTGTGTGAGAAATCTAAAACAACAACATAGAATCAATGCAGTTAAAAAACATATTTTAATGCGGTTAGACAAAATTTGACTTTATATGTTGTTGCAGCTGTTTCTGCCATAATCTGCCTTCTTCAGGAGTCTTATGAGCACTGCACATGTCACTATTTAAATTAAATATAGATCAATGAGTAACAAAGGGAACCAACGACAAATCACCAAAACTTTTTTTTTTTTTGTGCTACAAACATTGTTAAACATCATAGACATTGATGATAATAGTATCAATGAGTTCCCCGTGGGATGTCATACCAAATGATACCAAAAGTTCCAATGAAGGAGACTTAAAAGACAGCAATAGGCTTAAAGAATTTCATTGGCAAATGTAGGGGGCCAGCAGAGGATGATATAATTGGCCATAGGGGAGACAAGCAGCCCAAAACGTATGCGTGACATCGCCGCTCACGTGACGTCATGGCGCTACGATGCCACACGACGGCACTCGCATGCCGGGACAGAGCCAGCGCCATCTTTAATCATCCGCTCACCCAACCCAAAGACCTGGAGAGAGGTATCCCCACTCCAGCAGCAGTGGACAACACAGTGGAAACCCTAAGGGAGCCAAAGGATAGGGGCAAGAAAGGGGCAATGGCCCCAAATGCAGGAACCATACCAGCGCCACCCACAGGGGAGGGATCTGAAATTCCCACCCCATGAAGGGGCACACTGGGCATCTGTATGGCCAACCATCTACCCCCATATTCGCACCCCACATCACCCCAAAGTCCTAGCCAACAACATCAACAGCAATGAACAAAATCAGGCATATCCAGAACACCGGAAGAGCCACTGAGCCTGATCATAAAATTAGTAGTGACATAATAAGGGCCAATAATCTACTGTCCCTAAAAATGCCCCCCCCCCCCCCCAAAAAAAAAAAAACAAATGGCATCACTTTAAGAACTCATGTACAAAGTTTAGACATTACATCAGACACCTAAAGTACACACGAACCAAAATTTCCGGGGGGGGGGGGGGGGGAGATCCCCGCATCAGGTTTTTTTACACTAAAAAAAAATCTTAAATCTATTAGTCCACTAGTCCATCTAACACTACTTTCTCCTGCAGTGCTGCTTTCCAAGATATTTCTGTTGCTCTTCCATAGAGAGAGGAGTCACCCTAAGGTGTCGTTCACACAGATACTTAAGCATACAACCATGTGAGGGCCATGTTGTGCTTGCATGGGATGCACAGGTGTTCCATACATTTGCAGCAGCTGCTCCCAATTTGACACCCATGTGGGTGTGTGCAGGTGCAGATCCCCGAACCCACATTGTGTTTTTGGTCAGACTGTCAGATCAAAATGAAGCAAGGGGGAGAAGGACTAATGGAGCCACAACATCTAAGGATTGGTAAGTAAGCTACAATATATTCCAATTTTTGGTTTTGGGGTTAGATACAGGTTAACATTATGAAGTCAGAGAAATTAAACGAGATTCTTTCTTTGCTCTTTGGTGAGTCTCAAGGGCTGAGTCAGAAACTCCTACTCCTAGAATGGATCTGAGAGCAATCTCCGAAAGCAGCAACTGCCAGCATCCTCTCAAAGATATGTATTGGTATTTTGATGGGGGATTTTGGGGGTGGCAGGCCTCATTTAAATGGGGGTATAAATTAATCTCCTCAAAACATTGAGAAACCATGACATGTCTTAAATTGTGTACTGTACTTGCTTTTAAGTCACCTATAGATGAGTCGGAAACCAAACTTAATTCATGTAGACCATCAAATCTATTGTTTTTCGCATCATTTGTGTTCCAGGTGCAACACGCAATTTTTGTGCTGCAATCAAAAATGTCTGATC